AAATAGGTTGATATGCTGTAATTGCAACATGTGTTATTTTTATGCTGCAAATTTGATTAGGGAGTGATAAAGTTGGTGTTTTCTACTATATACTATTAAAATATTCATTGTTAATATTTTAAACCTATAAAACCCTGCTACATTTTTATCATTTGTGTTTGATAAGAAAAAAACTAAGATTTCAATAGTTGTGAAGAATCTTACCTATGTATCTTGGTAGACAACGATGATATGTCACTTATTTCCCTTGAAATAAAAATTATTCTTGATATATCAGAAAGCCAGAGCAAAAAGGTTTTTATTGTTTGGTTAATTTTTTCGTATCTGGCCACTTTTCTGCATAGAGGTATTTTATGCCAATGAAAAGTCTCGTCGAAGAAGATAAGATGAGTGAACCATGGAAGGTCACACTAACAAATAAAGTTATTACTCTTTTTCTTACTGGATTAACGAAACAAACATGGTATTAACAGGGTTGTTTTATTATGTGACTTATAAAATTGTTGCTCTATTGCAGGGTTAATTGTTCTGTATTCAATTCAAGTTTTAATTAAGATCTTCAGAACGCTTTTGCAAGGAACAAGTCGTCATAGAGGGCCAATATAATAAATGAGTCGTTTAATTGAGAACTAACATTGTGATGAAAATATCTGCTTATACTGTTTAAACTACATATAAAGGTATTTCATTCAAATGAAATATTATTACCATAATATATTCTCATAAAAGATACTCAATGAGGAGAATTACTTGAACTCAATTGTAGGAGCAATAATGTATTCATGAAAATATTTTCTCAATAATTTTAATGAGCTTTATATTGATATCAAATAGGTTGCTAACAATCTTTATAATTTTGCTTAAAATATTTAAAAATGGCCTTCTTATAAGGTCCAAATATTCAAAATGACGATAGAAACCTGAAATTGGAAAATATTATACATAATAGTTTATTTACTTGAAAACGTTTTGCTGTGAGTTATAATGGATTATAATTTTAACGTCAACAACTCGCCGCCGCGTTTGTGTTCTTGAGTTCGATAGATGAGTGAGAGAAGGAATTTGTCATTACAAGGCAATAACTATGATTCTTAATAGCCTTACAAAGAGCATGGCCTTCCATGGTCCACCCACCTTACATGAAAGATTCTAGAACGATTTACCAATCAGAGGGTGTGCAAGTGAAATAAATTCATGTGAAAAGGTATGGCTTTGCAAAGAACATCTCCCCAGTATTATGGTTTCTTGCTTGTTGAGTTTAAGTCAAACTGCAACCCACCCACTGAGTGCTGGTCATTGTTTAGCCTCATTTTTCGTAGAATTTCGGTAACAATACACATCTTTAGGATTTATTTGTTGTTCTTAGATATTGCTATTGATGCTCTATAGTGCTTATTGTATCTTTGAATTTACTAATAGACTGTTGATTCCATTATCTTCTCGTTCACCCTTGTTGCTGATGTCTCTTATCTTAGCTATTTTATTGTCAAGATATTGAGGCACGTCCTTAAGTTTCTCATCTTTTAGCTATTTGACTGTTTAGCCTTAGTGCTGTTCTCTTCAACTGCCACCAGAACAACACACGTAATTTTACACAATTTATAGTGTATAACGATTTTTCATAAACTTAGTAATATAGAAATAAGGCAGTGCAAAGCGCCATCTATTACACCAGAATCGACCACTGCGGAAAGCGTATGGCTGCTATTAGTTGGGGAAGTGCTAGGGACCTCAGCTCGCGTTTAATAGTAAAGTTACCACGTGGCCGGAAAGGAGAACCGTGAAATATTTTCCATATGTGTTAAAATTAACATCTTATTATATCTATAGATTCTGTATAATATTGATTCCGTAAAGTAATCCCAAACACTGCCGCAATTACCGATGTTTGGAAACAAAACTCAGTTGGGCTACATTTATCATATTCTCTGACTGTCGAACAGGGAGGTACCACCCTGTGGATCTCTAAGGGAAATCCAGAATGTGTGCATGTTGCATGCACACGTGTTCTCTCGCTATAACCCCACGGTACTCATGGGTGTTTAAGCCTTAGGCCTTCGTGGTGGTTCACGTTTAAAAAACAACACAATAGACATCGAAGGTCGTTCCTATGGAACTTTGGTGTGAGAAACTAAAAAAAATTGGCTAAACAATAACATAAATTCAGTTTGCATTTAAAGTCTGCATGCAAGGAATTATGATGTGGAGATATTTATTGAAAAGTTGTATGTTTTTATGAATATGTCAAAATCCATCAAGCCATTTTGCCTCTAGCCATGCGTGAAAAACATGTTCCTCCTTCTGAGATAGTTGGGTAACGAGTACATATTTAAAAAATGGCATCAAGTAGATTGTAGAGTTCCTACGGCTTCGTTGGAGGTTTCAAAGAAAAGGGATGGCTCAAGTCGTTTCAAAAGGCCAAATCGAATCGTGATTGTGTGGGTTCATTTAGGTACGATGAATCTTTGACCTCTCTCTGCATATAAAACTATATAAAGCAAATCTATCATATTTCTGCTTCCATGGCAGAAGCATAGAAAATGTGTGACTTATAACGTCAAAAATGTGCGTAGTACCACTGAGATCAGTAGCTTCTTAATTATAGAAGGTCTTTTACTGACCCCAAATATGCAACAATTTACAACCATTTACCGTATACAGCTTCCAACCTACAATTTCCATCCCCTCCAAACAATGCCTGAAAGTGAGCAGGAATTTCTGAAACGTTGTAACACTATGTTCCAGCGATTTTGTTTTTTATCTGTAGTTCCGTCGCCTCTGAATCAATTTTCAAAATCTACGTCTACCTAACCGATGGAAGTATCAAACTCGCGATAATATTCGAACTTCACAAGTTCGCAGGTTTTCTGTTGCTTAATGATATCTCTATCACACAGGTCCGTCCTTCTCACGGAGATTGAGCGATTTTTTTTTTCGAGTTTTACCCCTACCCCCATTGCCACTGGACCGATTTTCAAAAACTACGGCTTTTCATCCCTGGCGTACTAGTAACCTTGTGTGGAAATTTAGTAACAGTAACTGAAAGAATGCATTTTTTTTAATCCTGGAAATTTTCTGGTTTCTGTGTTACCAGGCCTGACAGACTTACAAACGGACACTATGAAACGAGAGCTGAGGTCCCGCGAACGGCTCTGACAACCAACATAGTTTGTAATTGTCTCAAGACGAATCTGATGACACCTTAAATGTCAAAATACATCAAGCCGTTTGGGATGTGGCCACCGACGATAAATAGATATACAGGGTGACTTTGAAGTTGAGTCATTAATTTTCAGATAATGATTGTAGAAGGAAGATAAACCAAAATATGTGTGTAACAATAAAAAAAAATGGTACCTTGTTTTATAAAGTATCCTCCCGACAAGTATTTCAGTGCGGACCTGTATTTGATCGTGCGGTCTTGGAGCACCGGCATGCGCTCCCCTGTGAGGTCTTAAGTCACCTGATTCACGAGCCCTTTGTACTACATTAACAAAGGCACGAGGGGTTGGTTGCACTCGATTGGGAAACCGATCCGCATAAATCCATGATGCCGCGGCAGCATTTTGTAAAGACTCCCCCCCCGTAAATAAAAATCATGTCCACAAGTTCAGCATTTTCGTAAACATGTGCCATTTTTTATATCGTTTGAGCCACGCAACAAACACCACTATTCACTCACGCGTTACCGACTGACACATTTACTGAATACAACTGAATAAAATTTTAGTAAAAACATCGTGATAAGCGTTTCAAATTCTTTCGCTTTTTTGTTTCCGATGCGATGAACCGATAAGGCGGATTATATCCGTTGTTGCCAAACACGAGCATATAATATTATTATTGAGACAGGGCGGTACTCAAACTTCTAAAGGGCTACAACTTTGTTACTGTTTAATTTTACCACAAAAATATTAAAGGAAAAAACATTTTTTTTGATCAGATCTACCCACTGTTAAAATAAATGACTCAACTTCGAAGTCACCCTGTATAACCCGTGAAATACAAATTTCAAGGTTAAAGTTTAAAATCCGTCATTTTGAATATTACTAAATGTTGGTCTGCCTCGTGTCGCTCGCGCCGTTAAGACAAATCTAGAGACACTTCATATGGCATAACCCATCAGAGAGATTTTCGATTAATATCCGACATTTCGTGTTTAAAAAATATAAATATAGCTATTGTCACTTGCATAACTAAGATGTATCCAAAAATACCCGATATGTCACAATCAATCCTTTGAAGCTGCAGCCCGTGAAATAAGAATTTTAAGTTTGAACTTTTTTTATTAAATTCCGTCATTTTGTGTTCATAAAATTTTAATATAGCTATTGCCTCTCGCACTGCTAAGACGATTCCAACAACGCCTCATATGTCAAAATCCATCAAGCCATTTGGCCTGTAGTCCGTCAAATAGAATTTTTTTAAACATACTTACCCGTGAAAAACATAGCCCTCCATCTGAGGCAGTCGGGTAAAGCAGGAAAACCTCCAGTAAATGAATCTCAGCAACAACAGAGTAGCTATTTATTACATTTATCACTTTTCTAATGAACTTTCAAGGAAACGATTGATATCAGAGACTTTTGATCAAAACGGTGTATTTCGAAAATCATTGATATTAGGACCATAGTGTAGTGAAGACTTTTGATCAGATTGGTATGGAGAAAGCCGTACTAAAATTCCAGCCAATTTATCCGCGAGCAATTAGCCATAAGGAATTCATTCTTATTCAGCCGATAGCTGGTCGTAAATAAAAGTTTGTATATATCTTTCGTACTTCCACTTATCTTCCTAGATACGTAAATACTATTTAAAATATAGCTTTATGTTTAGCTTATCCACCTCAGACATCTGTATAAAAACATATTTTTTTATATTTGGAGTTTTTATATTGTAGAATCATTTTTTGTGGCTTTTGGAGTATCAGTTAAAAACTTCATGTTTATAAAATAGTAATAAGAATTAGTTTATCAAAATATAATTTTTGTTTTTTAAAGGTGATGGAAGTGGTTGTAATGCTAAGGAAGGAAATCCTTTTGGTCCATTTTGGGATACATACAGTGTTAATTTTGTCAGCTCTGAATTTTATGGACCCCTTCACTATGATTTTTACCAAACAGACATGGCTAAGCAATGGAAACAGAAGTATCCACCAGAAAAATGGCCTGTATTGGCATTTACAGGTGAGATTCCAATACTACCAGGGCATGGAATATACTTAAGTAGAGATCAGGGGGGGGTTGGGGTATTCTCGAATCTCGCATGCAACATATCCTTGCATGTCACTCTGGAATCTTACTTTTGTTATTCTTGTCAACGTTTGTCACTTTTGTTACGTTATTTGATTTTAAGACGGGTGTTGGAAAAAGTTGGTCATTAAGGCCATAGGTCCCTTTTATCAGCCTATTTGAATGAGTATTTTTAATTACGTATTTTCGTCTGATACCTTCATGCTGTATAAAGAGATGATTGATAAGCAATTTTAGCAATTTTTTTCATCAAAAAATGCATTTTTTTGTCTATTTTTTCTACGATCGTAGTTGGTGAACGAATAACAGTGTAGCTCTAAAATTGTATTCCACATTTACCTTTACTATTTTTCTTGACATTTTTTTTTTTCAAAAAAACTTGTTTTTTCCGAAAAAGCAAACTGAGTTTTCAAAAAGAAACTTACTCAGGATCTAGAAAAAGTGCAGTACTAACCATTGCTAAAAAAAACTTTTTTGCTCACACGGTTTTCGAGCTATCATTGCTATTTGGAGTAAATGTTGAGAGAAACCCGTCTCCCGCTGGCCACGGCCACGGCGGCGGATGATTGGCCATAATCCGAGGTGACTATGCGAATCTCTTCGCCGTGATACTACTACGTTTCAGCATATTCGTGTACGATTTGTTGTTTTTAAGACAGCAGTATCAAAACGGCGTAAGCGCACGCGTGGAAGCAAAGAACAAAAAAGGCTTTGCTAGCAAGGCAACTGTTTCTTTGAGATCAGTTGTATATAATTCCACAAATTCGAGTATTGACTGTAATAGTTCGTAGTATAGTTTAGATGAAATGGTTAGTTTTTTCAAGCTGGAGCACTATGCCTCTTTGAAGCTTTTAAATTGAGCTGGTCGATGTATGCTAGGCCAAAAACCTGCGCTATTGTCACACAAAAGAATGGACATTTTCCATAGAAGTTCCCATTTTCCCAATTTGGTTCAAAAAAGTCATATCCATGTTTTAGCTCGTCTCCAGCCTTGCCTTCAGATTTTGACCTCTACATCTTACTTTTTTTATCCAGGTTGTTGTCAAGAAATGAAGTTGATGAACTATATGCATAGCCTTTTGTTGACAACAGCAATGAATTATCTTGAGCATAGTAGCTACAAAGGTACAAAGTTGGCAATTTGACCATAAAAACATTTGATTGTTTATTTTGTCGTTGTGAAGGCTAATTATGGTTATCGATCCCTAAACCTAACTAGAAAAGTGCTAATTAAAACGTTTACACGATAACTCAAATGAAACTGCAGCTAAATTATTATTATATTATTCCAAACGAAACGTCATTCAGCTCAAATTGTGTAGGCAATGGAAGTACGACATCAACCCTTCATAACACCTACCCTCTCTGCATAAGCCATCAAATATTATTTGCATTTCCATCAAGGTATGGGAAGAATTTCTTGAGGACGATATGAAAGCTACTGGCAAAGAAGAGAAGTCAGTTGCAATTGAGAAAGGTCATGTTATGCCAGATGGCACTGCATATATTACTGTTATCGCTGATGGTTAATGAAGTAAGAGGATCTATGGTCATGGATATAATGCGTCTTCGGGAGTAGTTTTTTATTGAAGGGGGGTAAGCGGGACCATTTTTTGTATTGCTCTTCAAAATATTTTTGGCCATCACATAAGATAGTAAACAAATCCTGGGGTCCTGACTCTGTTTACTAGAAATCAGAGTCATGGCCAGGATTTTTTCGTGGTTATTTATCATATTCGAATGACCCACTAAGCGGTTTTCCCTTACCCGGACTTCCATCAGAATTCGATCAAACGCCATTGGAATTCCTCGGAAAAAGGCAGTCGTCGCAGGTACCTGCCATAACAGCTTAGGTATGGATGATAGGTCCGCAAACATTACCATAATTCGGCCTTGAATGGAATGTCTATCATCAACCCTTATTAGGTAATCTCATCTGATGAAAATTATTCGAGATCAGTTGATCGTGCCTCGGCTCGTTGGAATTGTTTGTGGTATTTACATTTTAAGAGCATCTGCAATTTTCCCTTTATTTTATTGACAATACATAATACAGTAGGTGCCCAGTGTACAGTGAATGATATATGTTGTATCGTGAAAATAAGTACTACGAGTACTTGCCTTCCGGACTTAATTGGGGTAAACTAGTGGGTCATTAGAATATAATAAACATCAACGATTTATCGGAAAAAATCCTGGACCCAATTAGATTTTGGAAAATTACGATGTTTTGTATATATACCATGTAAAGTGCCCTGCGGGTTGAAAAACTATGTTCCGAGGCACACCCGCAAAGGCATACATGCAAAAAAACTGAACCTAAATCGATTTTCGATGTGTTTAATCTTAAAATTGAGGTAGGGCATTTTTGGGGGGCTGTAGCCATGCTCCACGATTAATTGTCATCATTTTTGCAACATTTTGATTTTTTCATGTTGCTCCCCAATTTTGGAATTCCTCTTGGGGAGGAAGGGTATACTCACTAGTAGATGTCTTATGGGGATTCGGTCTCAAAACTTCCAAAATCCGCCACCAGAGGCGCTGGCGTCGCGCGCCATTGACAGGTTGTTGGACGGAATCTGTAATCGAAATTCATGAGTTGGGGATTCCGCCGCTAGATGGCGCTGTCAAACCAAACGGAATCTGTGTGTCATTGGACACCTGTCATGCGTCATTGGGCATCTCACGCATAGATGGCGTTACACGTCATCTGTCATACGTCATTGGACACCTGTCATTGATGGGTTGAGCATCTCGCGCATAAATGGCGTAGATTTGTTTGGCGGTGTACAAACCTAACGGAATCTATGCGTCATTGGACAGCTGCCATTGATGGGTTGGGCATCTCGCGCATAGATGGCGCCGATGTCGCACCTGTCTGGTGTTGGCGTGGATTACGGGGGGCAACGTGTATACAGGGGTGCATCGAAAAATAGCGGATCGATGGACCGACGGTATATCGTTAAATCGTATATAGCAAGGCGTGACCTAAATAGCGTGGTGGGCTCCTCTGGTCGGTCAGAATGTCTCATAACCTGTATACGATGTACTGTTATTATTATACAGGATGATACCGTTCAAAATGAAAATAGTATAGACATTCTGACAATTATTTCGCAAACCAGAGGTATTTTCAATAAAACTACAATAATACGTTTAATATTTTATTGAAAATAGAAAAAACTACATAGGTAATATGATATTTGAAAACCAGTGGCGTAGACGTTCAACATTTCTCTGGGTACAGGAAAATTGTCCGTTGGTGTGGCATGGATTGGAATCAGCAACAAAGTTTCCAGTAGCACACGGTGTACCATCATACTTGCAAACATCAATAATGTTGGGAAAAACACCAAAAATGTGACATTTCTTGAGTAAAAAGTTTGCTTTCTGTTCTCCACGAACGTAGACATAGTCAGCCGCATATATCACCTTATTTTTAATTATTTCATTTAACTTGGAATATTTAACGTCGCCGGAAGAATATTTAAGCCCATGGAAATTCTTCTCCAAGTAAGCGACAGTTTTCTTGTCTTTAGTATTTAATGTAGAAAAAGGTTGCGGAGGTGTAAAGATGTAATGACTTTTCTTGAAACCAATTTCGATACATAGTTCTTTAGGTACGAATAATCCGTCAACTGTAAAGCCTTGAATGTCAACAAACGCGATCCTCATGATGTCTGATGCGGAACTGAGAGTCCTTCGTTGCTTACGAGATGGTTTTAATAACTTCGGTGAGGGGGAAGTACTCGATTAAGCAGTCATGTATAATGATGCAGTAGGCCTTGGTGTTGGTTGGAAAGCCAGTATCGGCTTCGATATCCAATCTAACATCAACAGTTGATGATTTCATGGTTTCCTCTTGTTTGGAACAGTCAATAACAAACAAAGCGCGATTTTTAAAAGCGGTATAATCTAAAAGACATCTCTTCAGAGGAGAAGAAGAAGTTGTATAGCTGGTTTGAAAGTCGCTATAGTTGAAATGAGCTTCAGTAAAGTGATTGTTTGCAAAGTCCAATTGCATACGTTCGTTGGGATAGTATTCACCATTTAAAGATACTCGAATACTAGCAGCATTCACGTGATCAAACAGGGTAGGGTCTGAGGTTGCGACGTCACGTTTACCGGTTTGGAAACATACTATAATGAAACGTGGTCTTTCGATTGCGGTGCTAGTTTTAACTGACCATATTTCTCTTCTCGCATCTGCGGTAATTGCAGGCAGTTCATTCAGATCCCATTTTCTAAACGGTATAAGTATCGGCTTATCAGTTTGAATAGCTTTCAAAAGTTGTTCTTTCACATCATCACTCGGGTAAATATGTTTGATTTTCAGTTCCATGCTTTCAATAGTTATTTTCGCTGTCGTCGCCGTCGTCGTCGTTCCAGTTTTTTCCTTGATAATGATACAATCGTTATCGTTTCTAGCTCTCACAAATCTGAGAGTTTGTCTGCCACACGTAATCATAGGATAATCATTGAAAATGTTGAAAATATGTTTAAGCGGCATTAGCAAGCTAAAAGACTTGTTATGTGTTGACGCCATTATAGGTGTTGAAGGATAGTTCCATCCAGCTATAGCCATATGATTTGAGTCTTCCTCACTGTAACATACGTAAGCTCGGACAGTACTTACAATACCAGGATCACGTACTGTTTCAACTTCTCTAGCGGATTCACTGTAAGTGCAAGAGTCAAATAGGAAGGCACCAAAGTTTGGAGCTAAAGATACATCTCCTGCTCCTCCTCCTCCAGTTATTTCAACTTTCCCTTTGATAGATAGAAGGGAAGCGTTCATTGCAAAGAACGAATCTACTTGATTGATGCTAAATTCCACAACATCATTACAATTAAATGACTTGATGAACGGCGTATAAGATCTATACTCAGCCTTGCGAATAGATTCATCGAATGCTGGAGATCGATATAGATCAAACATCGGAGAAGTATGTGATGCTGCTGCTGCTGCCTCCTCAGTTTTTCTCTTTTTGTACATGATTCTTGTTGTTGTTGACATGATATCCAAGTGAGCGTAGAAACAGGATATTTGATGTAGTTAGTAGTAGATGTCGTCGCTTAGGTGCTTGGGGTAATACTGAAGTTGCCTTGGAAGCACCACTATGTCTTATAATCACTAATCCCATCTGCGCTTCGCTCTCAACTCCAACACAAGAGTACTAGTTTCACCTTGAAAGTTTACAGGACGACCGTCTTGATCTAAAGCCAACACTGTGATGTTGGTTATTTCTTGTTTCGGTATAACAGGTAGATATAGTAAATTTACAGGTGTTTCGACTATAGCGTATCCAGGATCGGCTGTCACAGCAAATTCGTAGATCGTGTGTGCAGGCGTGTCTCCGTCAAAGGCTCCCGACGTAATGTTAGCATCAAAGTGTATGGTTGATACTTTTATTATGTTTACAGGTAAATCAGAAGAATGCTTTTGACCAGGAATAAGAACTTTTTTCGAGAATCCCAATAGATGTCCAAGATTATTCGGTTCTGTAAAAACTATTTTATAATACTTGCTAAAGATTTCACATTGCAGTGTATTATTGTTAGGTTTTAGAGAAAAATAATCATCCGGAGGAGCAACTTCATTTTCAAGATTCATTTGCGTTCGTATAAATGTTTCTATGTCGGTAATTTCATAACAACCTGTCGGAAACTCGATGACTTTTAATTGACCACCACCACCTATCCGGTCGATATAATAAAATTTATCTCCTTTTTCAATATTCGGTATGGAATTGTATGAAGTAAAAGACCTAAGCGCCAATTCATAATCTTTTTTCGGATCCAACACTATCGGTGTTGAAGGACGAAATGAAAATATATGAGTAGTGCTATTGACTCTCAACAACTGCGACATGATGAATGAAAAAATATAGCTGTGTACTAAGCATTTATTCAAGTTTTTTTTTTTGTTTATTTTCGAATGGATAATTTACAGAAATAACAATTTGCTTGAGCAGTAGCCGGTCCATCCCAATGTGTTGCCCAATCAGGTCTGTTGTAGTGAACATAGCATGGAAGTCGTATTTGAAGATCAAAATTGGATGTGTATTCTGCAGGCAGTTTGTGCCATATACTCAATAATTCTGCAGGTCTCACATTGCTTATTAAATATTCCAGCGGCGGAATA